AGGGGCCCGCCTGGGAGTTCAGTTCCCTGTGGGCGATTCTAAGGCATCTCCAGTCAATTTGCTCCCTCACAGAAGACGGGGGCAGGTCCAGGACTCTCTGGGGGCTTCACATGTAGAAGTCTCATTTGCAGCTTCTGTTTGGGGGAGAAACCTGAAGACTCCCTCCTTACCTCTTTGGTTTGCTGAGCGGTCAGGAGCAGCCCGCCCAGCAGAGCTCCCTCGATGGTCGAGATGCTGCCTCTGCCACGCTCAGCATGAGTGTGTGTGGTGTGGCGGTGCACCTGCAGGGCTGGGGGCTCCGTTTCCTCCATGTCACTTTGTATTTTAACAGCCGTAGGCCAGCTCTTGCCACAAAGTCCGCGTGCTGGGCAGTGGGGGTTAGAACTGGAGCCCCCGGCCCCCGTACGGCAGGGGCTGTAATAAGCGGCCTGTGCCACATGGCCCAGACGAAGCCCTCACTTTATTCGGAAGAGCTAGCTTTGACCAGAAAATGTGGTGGCCTGAGAGCCTGAGATCCGGGTGGTCACCCCAGGCAGAGAGTCCTCAGGCCTCACGGGTACCCTGTCCACAGGCACTGGCAGCATCGAGATCCCTGTCCTCTGCTTGCTGGTCAATGGTGATCCCAGCACCTTGGAGGTAGGGGCCTGGTGGAGGCCCCCTGGCTGGCTGAAGCCTTGTGGAGGGGTTTGGTGGATTCTGGACACCCCTGGGACAGGGCTGGAAGGGATGGGGGGCCCCCCTGACACCTGCATCCAGATGTCGCCAGGATGATCTGGGCTCCGCTTTCCCCTCCCTCCCCGTCTCAGAGGATCTCCAGGGCCGTGGAGCAGGCTGCCCCGTGGCTGATCCTGGCAGGCTCAGGGGGCATCGCCGATGTGCTTGCTGCCCTGGTGAACCAGCCCCACCTCCTGGTGCCCAGGGTGGCTGAGAAGCAGTTTAAGGAGAAGTTTCCCAGCGAGCATTTCTCTTGGGAGGACATCGTGCGCTGGACCAAGCTGGTATGCGCTTCCCCCTTCCCTGTCCTCCCAACCCTCCTCCCGGGGTGGCGCTGGTCCTCTCGGAGAGCCCCTGCTGATGCAGCCTCCAGCCCACTCCCCCCACCTCAGACTGCCGGGCCCCCCTCCCGCTCTCGCTTCAGGCCCACAGGGAGCAGAGGGACCCAGGCAGCCCCTTGGTCTGCGGGTGGTCCTGGGCCGGGCCCAGTGGGTGGTGGGCACGCAGGCTGCAAGGCTCACCTGGGGACACTGCCTGTGCCTCCGCTGGTGTCGACCACAGCCTGCCCCTGCCCCTGCCCCTGTCCTGGCTGAGGCAGCCCCATCGGGGTTCTGTTCTGGTGCCCAGCTGCAGAACATCACCTCACACCAGCACCTGCTCACCGTGTACGACTTTGAGCAGGAGGGCTCCGAGGAGCTGGACACAGTCATCCTGAAGGCGCTGGTGAAAGGTGAGGGCGGGCAGGGTGGGCACGGCAGGCACCATCAGGCGGCTTCATGCTCGGAGACACTCTGGGGTTTGGCAGCCTGGGCGTTTGGGACGCTCGCCCGCCTGTCCCTTCCCGGGAAAGATGACACGTGATTCATGCATCTCTCTGTATTTGGCAAGTTTTATGACATATGTTTTTTACCACAGCGTAAAACTATACTTAAAGCTCTCAATTCAGTGGGTTTTTTTTAGGGGGGAGGTTGTTTTTTGTTTGTTTTGGTTTTTGGTTTTTTGAGATGGAGTCTCGCACCGTCGCCCGGGCTGGAGTGCAGTGCTGCGATCTCGGCTCACTGCAACCTCCTCCTCCCGAGTTCAAGCGATTCTCCTGCCTCAACCTTCCAAGTAGCTGGGATTACAGGTGCCCGCCACCACACCCAGATAATTTTTTGTATTTTTAGTAGAGATGGGGTTTCACTATGTTGGCTAGGCTGGTCTCAAACTCCTGACCTCGTGATCTGCCCGCCTGGACTTCCCAAAGTGCTGGGGTGACAGGCGTGAGCCACCACGCTGGCCAATTCAGTGGTTTTTAGTATATTTGCGAGGTGGGGCAACCATCACTGTTATCTAATTCCAGAAGCCTTCATCGCCCCAGAAGGAGCCCATACCCCTTGGCACTCACTCCCCATTTTCCCCCAGCCCCTGGGAACCATCGATCTGCTTCCTGTCTCTATGGATTTGCCGACGGGCGTTTCATGTCCATGGCTCCCTGCAGGAGCGGGAGGGTTTCACGGTTCATCCGCGTTGCAGCGTATACCATTTCATGCTTCATTCCTTCTGTAAGGCGGAGTCAGGTTCCAGCCTGTGGACAGACTGGCTGATGCATCCGTTCACCCGCCGATGGAAAATTTTGATCAGCATTTGATGTGCTTTTTGTTGGAGACAAACACGTGCTGAAGGGCTGGCTGCTGGCAGGCAGACATAGCCCCAGCAGGGAGGGGCGCTGCTGAGCAGGGTCTGGGGACACCTTGAGTGAGGGGCCGCTCTAGGAAGGGTGTCTGGACTGCGGGTAGCTCGGGATTTAGCAACCTCACCAGGACAAGGAGGTCAATGGAGCCCCCCTGTTTAGGAACCCCCCTGTTTAGGAGCTCCCCCACCCCTTCTCATGAGTCTCAGTTTGGTCCCAGCGGCCTGAGAGAGGTACCGTAGTCTTATGGGGTCTACGACTGTGGAGGCTGAGGCTGGCGAGGACGGCGGTTTCCAGCAGACGCACCCGGCCCAGGTGCTGCAGGCCTCCCTCGAGTGACCCTGGTGACCTCACCAAGTCATGGTCAAATGCCCTTGCCCGTGGAGGAAACATGGCCCAGCGTGCTACCCTGACAACATCCAGGAAGTGGCCTCAAGGCCCAGGTGTTAGCTGAGGTACCCCCGTTGCGGCCGAGGAAGGTGCCTCACATGGGAGCAGATGGGCCATGCTGACACAGACCAGGGCAGTGCGCCTTCTCCTGGGGTTTGCACAAAGTCTTATGCCTCCTGCTGGTGCTCAGAAGTGGCACATGTGCCCCCTCAAGTCCCAGCGTGAAGTTCCCGTTTCCGCGTCTCTAGGCAGCCCACCTTCGGGGACCCTGTGCCCCAGCTCTGTCAGGCCCTCAGCTTCACCCTCGCCAGTGCCCGCCTGCTCTGCCCACAGCCTGCAAGAGCCACAGCCAGGAGCCTCAGGACTATCTGGATGAGCTCAAGCTGGCCGTGGCCTGGGACCACGTGGACATCGCCAAGAGTGAGATCTTCAATGGGGACGTGGAGTGGAAGGTGCCTCCCAGTCTGGCCCACCCGCCTCCCCTCCCCC